TTAAGGGTTTAGGGGTTTGGGATTTTAGGGTTTAGGGCTTAGGGCTTAGGGTTTGTAGGGCTTAGGGTTTTTAGGGCTTAGGGTTTTTAGGGTTTAGGGCTTTTAGGGTTTAGGGTTTTTAGGGTCTTTGGGGTTTAGGGTTTAGGGCTCATCTAACTGCTTCTGCTGGCATGTGCATGCTAAGCAAGACGTCGCCCCGCCATGCTGCCGGTGTGGGGGGTGCCATGGAAGCATCGGCAACAAACGCCAAGGCCAGCGGGAATTCACTCGTGCAAGAAGGGCGGTTGAACTTGATCCGAAACTGTTCCCTAAAGCAGACTAAACCCTAAACCCTAAACCTACTGACAATAGATAGATTAAGGAGCTCCTTTAAAAAAAAGAGGTGTGCAGGTCCGGTGGGCGTTCAGCACCCAAAACTCCACTATCGGTTTAGGGTGTAGGGTTTAGGGGTTTCGGGTTTAGGGTTTAGGGTCACGCGATGTATGCTATGGATGATACTTACACCCTAAACCCTAAACCTTAAACCTTAAACCCGAAAACGCAGTTTCGAAGTTTAGAAAATCTTCTCGACACCTGTGCAGTACACCCGAGAGGCCTGCAGATAAAAGCAAGTCTTCATAACATCCCTGGAAAAGCGGAGCAGGCCCAAGACAACACACAATCCCAGAAGCCTAAATAACCGAGCTGAGTTATTTGAGTAGGTTTCTATTCGTGTTGGGGTGGTTTCTATCCGCATGAAACGCGTATAAGACCCGCTAAGACCCTAAACCCATGAGGCAGGCATCCAAAGGGACCATCGGACAAAATGCGGCAGACGCCTCGAACAATCTTTCCCGCAATTCCTCTTTCGAGGAGTAGGGCGGCAAGTACCTGTGTTTGAATGAGAAAATATCTGCGGGCTATTCTTGCTTGCGGCTTTAGAGTTTAGCTTACTTCCCCAGTCAGCCAGGAAAATAAAAGGTTAAACTTTCAGATTACTACTAAGCTATAAAAGCACAGAAAATTTAAAGGCTGGGTATTGGAGAACTAAGTTAGGGTTCTTTGAACATCAATTTTTTGCTGCTTCTAAACAAACAGCGACCTACCGGACTACAGACGCATCATTTCCAGAACATGGTGTGAACTCAACATCTGCTATAGGGCCCTGAACAATTTGGACAGGGTTTCGGTTTAGGGTTTAGGGTTTAGGGTTTAGGGTGGATACAGGGACTATGAGGGGATACCATTAGTGCTATTCCGATCCCGATATAGTTTAAGGCCCCGAACTGCAATAGCACTTCAACGTGCAATATTTAGTATGCGACACGAGGGACCCATGTCACTAACCCGAGAACAGCTCGACACGCTTAATCCTACCCTAAAGCTGTCGCCTAAACCCTATCAACCCCAAGTCCCCACCCGACACCCTGCAGACGAGTCCTCGACCACCCCTAAAGCACCCATGCCCAGCACCAGGTATGAAGAGTCTGCCTTGGAACTTCGTCGCAGAACGCCTAGAGTTTAGGGATGACAAAAACGTCTTAAGAATCAGAAGATGTAGGGGTTTAGGGTTTAGGGTTTAGGCTTTAGGATGTTGGGGAGGCCTATATACTAGAATTACACACGGGCAACGCGTGAGGCATACTGCTCTTAAGCTTTATGGGTAGTTTTCTAAATTAGGCTCCCTTTGGGGGTCCTTTGTATAAGGGTGCCGTACTATATTTGGAATCCAAAAAGGGACCCTAATTTAGAGAACTCCCCCTAATACATGCACGGACCATCACCCACGAGACGAATCCAACATCAACAACAACAGCATGGATAATCGGGTTTAGGGATTAGGGTTCAGGGTTTAGGGTTCAGGGTTTAGGGTTTAGGGATTAGGGTTAAGGGAAATGGCACTTAAATGCCGCGGATCGTAGGATCCTTGATTTTTTAAGTACGGCCAAAAGACTGCCCGTGAAACCTTCGCAAAACATCTCTCAACCCTAAAACCCAAACTCCAAAACCTTAACCGCCTCATCCAAACCCAATTTCATCCCTCCCTAAAGCCGTGACCCAAAACCCTAAACCCTAAACAATAAACCCTAAACCCTAAACTTTAAACCCCTAGACCGTAAACACCCAAAAGAGGCACCCACGAGCCCCTGCGGTGGGCACAACTGATTTGCGCAGGCCCGCGAACGGGGGAACCCCTTCCTTCAAGAGCTACGCGGGGCGATTAGGGTTTTTCGGGTTTAGGGGTTTAAGGGTTTAGGGTTTATAGGGTTTCAGGGTTTAGGGTTTAAGGGTGTAGGGTTTATAGGGTTTATAGGTTTTAGGTTTAGGGTTCGGTGTAGAGTTTATAGGGTCTAAGGGTTTCGGGTATAGGGTTTAAATTAAGAGTGTAGGGTTTAGGGTTTTAGGGTTTAGGGGTGTAGGGGTGTAGTGTTTATAGGGTTTAAGGGTTTTTGTGGTTAGGGTTTATAGGTTTTGACGGTTTAGGGTTTTGTGGTTGATTCGGGTGGTTTTGTGTTTTGTGTTTTTGGGCTTTTGGCTTTAGAAATTGTATAGGGTTCGGGTTCAGGGTTTGGAGCGAAAGTTAGGAGCGAAAGTTTCGCGCGGGTTTTGCTTTTTTGATATCTTTTGCTTTGTTGATTTCAGTTGTGTTTTTGGGATTGCGCCGGGCTGGGGCCCTGGGCTGCCTGGGCTACCGGGGTGGCGGCGGGCTGGTACTGGTACTGGTTTAGGGTTTAGGGTTTAGGGTTTAGGGTTTAGGGTTTAGGGTTTAGGGTTTAGGGTTTAGGTTTTAGGGTTTAGGGTTTAGGGTTTTTTGGGGGGGGGCAGGGCAAGGCGGGGCAAGGCGCGGGCAGGGACGGGGTGAGGCGCGGGGGCCTGGGAGGGATGGGGGGGTATTCAGCGCGGCTTGGAATTGGGTCGGCTTCTCCGTGTGCACGTTTAATGAAATCTCTTTATCCTGTTCTTGAGGGTTTAGGGTTTTGTGTTTTGGGTTTAGGGTTTTGTGTTTTGGGTTTAGGGTCTTGTGTTTTGCAAACAACCACAGTATCGTTTTAGGGTTTTGGCGCGGTTTTTCTGGTCAATATGGCCGTCATTCGGGCTTCGTCGGGTTTGAGGCTTAGGGCTTAGGGCATTGAGTTTAGGGTATTGGGCTTAGGGATTTGATCCCTAAACCCTACTTGGAGGGTCGAGGGACTTAGTAAGTAGTTATCTTATAGACTTATGAGTATCATAACCCCAATTAGAGTCCATTTTAGGTTACTTATAAGTCTACTTA